CACTCGAGGCTTGAGCTCAGCTCGCGCCCACCCCGCCGGAGCTCCTCGACCCCCCGCCCCACCAGGGTCTTGAGTCCCCGCCACCCGGGCAGGCCCTCTCCTGGGCCCCCAGGGGCTTCTACCCTCCACCCCAGGCTCCAGTCCCTCCCCGGCGTCCCTACTGGCTCCTTTAGTTCTCCTGATCCGATCCCGGGACCCTGACCCCCTGAAACCCCTGCTCCCAGGATTCAGCTCCGCTGTTGGGGTGGGGGGTGGTGATCCTGGCGTCTTGTGGCTCCAGGCCGGCTGGCAGCAAGGCTCCTGGACAGCATGGGGGCTTCGTGGTGGCTGTCAAGCAAGAGCGCGGCGAGGGCACGCGAGCTGGCGAGAAGGGGTCCCAGGAGGAGGAGGTGAGAGTCCCCGCACCGCGGTGGGAGAGGCCCTGGTTCTCGGCCTTGAAGCCCCGCCTTGGACTAGATTTGAATTCCCTGTGGCTCCGCCCACAGTCTAGATTTGTCCCCTGAGACCCCACCCCGAGGCACATGCCACGCCCCCAAAGGTTTACCATCAAATGCCAGCTCCTATCACTGCTCACCTCTCTGCGGAAGACGCCTTCCCCTGGACCCGTGGGGTCTTCCTCCAGCGCAAACCACGCCCATATTACAAAAGCCACACCCACAACAAACCAGCCCCAAACCCCTGTCCAGGGTGAAGCCGGGTCAATCCTAGCCCTTGACCCAGGCGTACCTTCAGGCCTTTTAGGTTCTACCTCCTTGCTGGGGCCCCGCCCGCTTCTAGCCCCACCCACGTCTTCCAAAGCCCCACCCCTGCCCCTTTGGGTCCCTCCCCAGCCCACCAGGCCCCTTCCAATTCGCGTGGTCCGGTTCTGCAGCCAGTGAAGAAGCGCGGCTGGCCCAAGGGCAAGAAGCGGAAGAAGATCCTGCCAAATGGTCCCAAAGCACCGGTCACCGGCTACGTGCGCTTCCTGAACGAGCGGCGCGAGCAGATCCGCACGCGTCACCCAGACCTGCCGTTTCCGGAGATCACCAAGATGCTGGGCGCCGAGTGGAGCAAACTGCAGCCGGCTGAGAAGCAGGTGGGCGGCGGATGGGGCCGGCCGGGTACCACTGACCCTCCCCCCATTCATTAGGACACCCCTGCGGCCACGTTCCCCAAAAGAGCAGGTGTGGAGGGTCTTTCTTCCTGGAGAACTGACCACCTGGGAGTCTGCCCCAGCTTGTTGGGGAGAGAGTGGCAATAGGCGAGAATATATCTAAAACTTAACCGGTATGGTTAAAGTTTTAGGGGTGTGGGCTGGGTGTTTACGTGAAACCTTTTGATGTTCAAAACCTTGTCATTTAAAAATTGTAAAAAAGTCAAGGGAAGGTAACAAAAACCACTACCGGTTTGCATTCATAATTGGGACTCGGCAGGCAAAGTGGGTGCGAGAGGGCAGCCTGGAGGTGGGAGCCTGCAGTCACTCAGACACCAGTGGGTGGCTTATAAAGGGGTGGGGAGCTAGGAGGTGCTATGAGTAGCAAGCTGGGGGGCGGGGTTTTATCTGGAGAGTAGTAGGAAGCTCTGGGAAGATGGAACCCAGTGTCAGAGGTGGAGGCCTGGCCTTGGAGGCCTCTCCCGCCCCCAAGCTGGGCCAGACCTGCTCATGCCGCCTGCCAGCGGTACCTGGACGAGGCCGAGCGGGAGAAGCAGCAGTACATGAAGGAGCTGCGGGCGTACCAGCAGTCAGAAGCCTACAAGATGTGCACGGAGAAGATCCAGGAAAAGAAGATTAAGAAAGGTGGGAAGGGCCCCCGCCCCCAGGCAGCCGAGTGCCTGCTCCTAGACGGTTGACTCTGGCAAAGCGACCCCCACCGTGGGGCTCACGTTGAGGGGGAGGGGGAGGAGGGTGTTCCAGGCAGGGGGAACACCACGTGCAAAGCAAAGCGGGGTCAGAGGAGACCTGGGAGGCTGACACTGCCCTCCTTGCTCCCCCACCAGAGGACTCCGGCTCCGGGCTCATGAATACCCTCTTGAATGGACACAAGGTAAGCGCCCCTCCTCCAAGGAGAGCATCTGGAGGTCATTAGACCCCTGGGTGAAACGGGACCTATGCTCATGGGAGGAAATAAGCCCCCTTCTCCATCCTGTGCAAGCAGAGGCAGGGCAGCCACACCGTGGGGATGTCGTTAAATAGACTCAGAACCCCCCCCAAGCTTGGAGATGCCCCAGAGGGCGTTTGGCTCCCCCCTCAAAAAAGACATTGTCGTCTGTCTTGTCCCAGGGTGGAGACTGCGATGGCTTCTCCACCTTCGATGTCCCCATTTTCACCGAAGAGTTTTTGGACCAAAACAAAGGTGAGCGCCGACTAGGGGTTCTCGGGGGAAGCAGGTGTCAGGGGAGAGGGTGGGCCAAAAGGGCTCCGAGGCAGGAGGCAGTAGGTGGGGAGAATTTACCCTTAAAAGCCGAATCCTCTTCCTTGCCCGCCCGCCGTGTGGCTCCGGGAGCTACCGGATGTGGCTTAGAAGCAGAGCAGTGACCGAAGGCCTGGGGGCGGGGGGCACAGCTCGGGCAAAGGCCCAGCAGAGGGAAAGGGAGGAAGCGCCAGGCCCTGACCCCGCTCCCCCGCTGCAGCGCGGGAGGCGGAGCTGCGGCGCCTGCGGAAGATGAACGTGGCCTTCGAGGAGCAGAACGCGGTGCTGCAGAGGCACACGCAGAACATGAGCAGCGCGCGCGAGCGCCTGGAGCAGGAGCTGGCGCTGGAGGAGCAGCGGACGCTGGCTCTGCAGCAGCAGCTCCAGGCGGTGCGCCAGGCGCTCACCGCCAGCTTCGCCTCGCTGCCGGTGCCGGGTGCGGAATCCCCGTCCCCGCCCGCTGAGTCCTGTCCCCGCCAACCCCGCCTTCTTGCCCCGCTAACTCCGCCCTCGGTTACCTGGAGCCCTGCTCCCATCACGGGAGAGTCCCGCCGCTGCTGACTCCTCCAACCGCGCCGTGGACGGAGCGAGTTCCGCCCCTATGGCCCTGCCCCGCGAGCTCCTACCCTGCTGGCTCGGACCGCCTCACTAACCGGGTCCCTCATCACCGGAACCCTGCTCCATAGGACCCCCTACCTGCCCCGAGTTTCGCGCGAGCCTCTCTCTCCCCCGGCAGCCCCGCCCTCTGTGATCCCGCCCCCTGTGGCCCCGCCCCCAGCACGCAAGCCCCGCTTCCCTGAGCGACCCGCCCTCATTAACCTTCGCCCTCCTCCCCGCCTTTTCTCACTTGTCTTCTGTTGACCTTGGCTAATTCCTCCCTCACGAAACCCCGGTATCCCCTCTCCTCTCCCTCCTCTCCTCCCCCTCCCCTCCATCCCCCGCTCCCCGCACCGATCTTGCCCGGGCTAACATCTTTCCCCCGCCCAAAGCTGACATTAACTTTCTCAGGTCCAAATGCCCTTGACCCCTCACCCGACCCCACTGACACGCGCCAAGGGCCTCCTCCCCAAGACCCTGCCCTTAAGAGACCTGTGCTCCTGTGGAGCCCAGACCGCGGCGACACCCCTCCTTCCCGTTGGGTTCGGCTGATCAGTGCCCCTCCGCCCCGCGATCTCCAGGCACGGGCGAGACTCCCACGCTCAGCACGCTGGACTTCTACATGGCCAGGCTGCATGGCGCCATCGAGCGCGACCCCGCCCAGCACGAGAAGCTCATCGTTCGCATCAAGGAGATCCTGGCCCAGGTCGCCAGGTGTGTGCCCAGGCTGTTCTGCTTCAGCCCGCGCAGCCCAGATGGGGCGGCCGAGCATGCGGTGCTGCCGCAGGCTGGACCTGCCTTGGTGGGCCTGGGCGGAAATGCCTGTATTTTGCCCTTCAGTGGGGTTCCGGGGGTCTGCGGGCGCTAAGGCGTGGGATCCGGCAGCTAGACCGTGCTCGAGGGCTCCGCTCCTGCAGGATTTACTAGGCGGGGCTTATTTGATGCACGTGGCTAAGGGCAGGACCACGGGGTGGGGGGTGGGAGGGACAACACTGATCAGGCCAGGAACTGTATTAATGTTTCTGGGAGGGATCTGCCAGCCCCCCCCTCTTTGCCGGTTATTCTGAGTGACTTCTGACTGCCCAGGTTAGGTGGGATCAACTCCAGGCCCCCCACCCTGACATCTATTTGGATGAGCTGAGGGTGGGTGGCCTCTAGGGGGACCCAGTATGCGGGTAGGAACTAAGAGATGATGGGGTCCCCCATCATGACTCCCCTCTCTCCTGTCACAGCGAGCACCTATGAAGGTGTTGGCCACGCCCCTGCTCCAGAGAAGACCACGCTCTGGTCATGGTCCCACCCCCACCCCATGGAGGAGGGGTGGGGGTCCACCCTTTGTGGCCAGACCTGATCCTGCACCTTGGGGGCTTCAGCCCCCCACTAAAATTTCTATAGCAGCCCTCTAGCTTTCGATCTCCCCAGCACCTGGAACCTAGAAGTCGCCTGCCATGCACAATGAACGTAGAACTCCATGGCCTCAGAAAGGCACGTCACACTACAGGGACATGGGAGCACCACACATGGGCAGCATAGCCAAGGACACGAGGGCCCACAGCAGCTCACACGCCCGGTGTGGGGAGGGTGACAGGCTACACTGGCCCAGGACTCGGGGCAGAGGAAACCCACGTGACACACCAGGAGGGCCCCCCGAAGGCACTGACCATGGGTGCCCCGCACAGGCAGGCGCTCTGCAGGATACTCTCTCACCCTTGGGTGGGGCCCTCTGCTTATAGCCCTTGAATTCTTGCACCCCAGAATGGGGGAAGGGTGTTGGTACTGACCACCCTGCCCCCATCTCACTGAAGGACGCTCGTGGAGGCAGCTCCTTTGCCACTGCTTAATCCAGAATTTTTAAATAAAGTAGAATTTGAATTTCAAACTTGTGTATGTTTTTATGGTGGCATGGACCGGAAGATGTGCCCAGGATCCCCCAAATGCCCCTGCTGGGGGTTCGAGGCCAGCCCACCCCCTCTCCCCCCAGCCCTTGGCAACTACGAATCCACTTTCTCTATGGACGTGCCTGTTCTGAACACTTCACACAAATGGAATCACACACCGTGTGGCCTTTTGTGTCTCTCACCCAACATCGTGTATTCAAGGTTCGGTCACGGTTGTGTCATGTGTCAGCACTTTACTCCTTTTCATGGCCGAGTAATAGTCCCATGTGGGCATGGACCACGTTGTCTTTATCCATTCGAATATCCATGATGAACATCTGGTTGTTTCCACCTCTTGGCCGTTTTGAATTGCGCTGCTGTGAACATGCGTGGACAGGCTTTTGTTTAAACACCTGTTTTCAGTTCTCATGTCCATCCCCGGAGTGGAATTGCTGGGTCATATGGTAATTCTATGCTTAATTTATTGAGGCATCCTCTCTGAGACTCCTGCCTTCAATGGAATATTTAAGACACCCTAAAACGTTTGAAGAATAATTTGACCAACACCTGTGTTACAGGTTGGATTATGTTGCCTCAAAAGATATGTTGAAGTCTTAGTCCCCGGAACCTCAGAATGGGACTTTATCTGGAAATAGGGTCACTGCAGATATAATGAGTTAAGATGAGGTCATTCAAGAGTAGGGCGGCCCCTAATCCAGTATGACGTGTCCTTATAAGAAGATGAAGATTTGGGCACAGAGAGGAGACAGCTGCGTGATGACACGGCAGACGGCGAAGGAACGTCAGCTGCCAAGGAACGCCAAAGATGGCCAGCCGACCTCAGGAGCCAGGAGACGCGAGGAGGGGTCCCTCATCGGTTGTGGGGAGTGCGGTCTTGCTGACGGCCCGATTTCAGACTTCCAGCCTCCAGAACTGTGAGAAAAACCTGTTTTAAGCGCCCCGGTTCATGGCACTTCGTTATGGCAGCCCTGGGAGACTGATACACGCAGATATTGTCATGTCTCCCCAGGCGTGAACTGAGTCTCAGCTCCTCCCTGGCACAGGCACCCCCATTTCAAGTCTGGAGTTACCATTCCTGGGCAGGTCTTTACATATTTTCTGCATGTGAGTATGCAAAAATAGTACTAAAATAGTACTAGTTTGGTCATTTTGGGTTTTCAGTTCATTTTTTGAAGGTTTTATTTTATTGTTATTTTTAAATTCATTTTTTAGGCGAGGCAACCTTTGGTTGACCTCACAGATTGCAAGGACCTTGTCAGCTTACAATCCCTTACTTTTTTTTATTTTTTACGCCTACAGCACCTGGTCTTCCTAGGTGGCCTCTCATCCAAGTACTAATCGGGCCTGACCCTGCTTAGCTTCCGAGATCAGACGGGATTGGGCTTGTTCAGGGTGGCATGGCCATAGACTTTTTGCAGGTTTTAAAGTGTACTATTCTGTGCTTTCTGGTGTATTCACAGAGTTGTGCAACCATTGGCACAACCTAATTCCAGAACATTCCATCACCCTGGCCCCTTTGGTAGTCACCCCATCCCCCTCTCCACTAATCCACCTTCTGTCTCTGAGGACGTGCCTGTTCTGAACATTTCACGTAAACAGAATCACGCACTGTGTGGCGCCCGTGTCTGGCTTCTCTCGCTGAGCATCGTGTGCTCAAGGCTCATCCACATTGTACTGTGTGTAACATTTTGCAAGTTTTTAAACTTGAAATACATTTTCTTCCATCATCCAAACCTTCTGTGACTTGACTTTTTCCATCCATGTCTGGTTTCTGGGATTCTCCCAGGGCAGGGGGCCCCTCTCTTACGCTGCCGTACAGGATTCCACTTCTGCTTTTGCTTATTGAGCCCAAATTCCTGATGTCTAGAATCTCTCAGGAGATTCTCACAGACTCCTTCCGGTTTGAGAGCTAGGGGACCATTCATTCACCTCCCACACTCACCCCCAGGCACTGGGCAGCAGGATACAGCAGAGGAACAAGAGACCAGAACCCCTGCCCTTCTGGAGCTGACGTTCCAGTTGGAGAGACAGATAGGACACAAAATTAGTAAAAAAAATATCTGATATGTCAGGTGATGCTCAAGGCTGGGGGGGTGGCAAGGCACCTGGGAAGGGAGCTTGGTAGTGGTGAGAGGAGGTGACATTTGATCAAAGAGCTGAGGGAAGTGAGGGACGAACCACATGGAGCTCTGGGAGGTTTTCCAGGCAGGGGGTGCAGCACATGCAAAGGCCCTGGGGCAGGACCTTGATGGCTGTCTGAGGGAGAGTGAGGAGGCAGAGCGAGGCAGGTGGGGAGAAGGAGGAGGTGAGGGCAGGGAGGGGAGGGAGGCAAGTCATACAGGGCCTGTGGGCTGCAGGGAGGACTTGGGCTTTCCTCCTGAGGGACTCGGGAGCCCCGGAGGGCTGAGGGCACAGATGGGCCAGGATGAGTCTCAGGTCATACTAGGGCAACCATCGTACCACTTCCGGGAGCTGTTACAAGGGTTAAGTGAGCGCCTTGCAGACAGTGAGCGCTCTGGAGCGCTCAGCTGTCCGCGCCCATATTTGTGATCCATGTTTTTCCCACGCCACATGTCAGAGCCCAGTGGACCGCCCGACATCCCCAGGGAGTGCGCAGCTGGCCCTGGCAGGGCCCAGACACCTGAGGCCCGCCCTACCCCACCCCTGCATCTCGTGGTGTCACCTTCCCGGGAGGCTCGGGTTCCTGGATCCCCTTACACGGGCAGCTCGGCTGTCGGGCCCTGGGCCGGGGGAGGGGAGGCTGCAGGAAGCGGCGGATCCGGCAGAGGCGGTGGCCCGGGTGGCCGAGCCGCGCCTCGTCTTTCGTACGCAGCTGGCACATGGCAGCCCCACGGGCAAGATCGAGGGCTTCACCAACGTCCGCGAACTCTACGCCAAGATCGCCGAGGCCTTTGGGATCGCGCCCACTGAGGTGAGGACCCTGGACCCCCGGCGCCCGAGATTCACCGGGCTGACCCGGGGTGGGGGTGGAGCCTGGACCCCTGGACTGAGGGTCTCGGATCCCTCATCGCCGTTTTGGGGGGCCCCAATCTTCAGATATCAGAGACGCACCTCTCAGAGCCAGAGGTGCCCATACCCCGGCGACATCCGCTTTGCGCGTCCGGCACAAAACATGAGCAAGTTTCAGGCTTAGTGGGTCCCTAGATCGCCCGGGAACCCACTCTACCCACCCAGCTAGGGCGGATCCCAGCGCTCAGGAAAGCACGTCTGTGGTTCGTGGGCGCGGCTGGGGGTTGGGGACAGGGGCTGGGAGCTGGGGGCTGGGGCTCTAGGCAGCCCCCTTCCAGGTGGGACTTCGCAGGCAGCCAGGCTCAGGGACTGGGCTGCATATATATGCACCTCGCAGCCCCCAGGGGGCGCCAGTAGATTCAGAAAGATCTGAAAAAAAAAAAGGTCTGAGGGTCAGGGCCCAAGAGAGTTAAAATTGGAAGTCTGGGGTGGGGGCGTGGAGAGGGGGGGTTTCTTCCTGCCCGTAGATCCTCACCCTGCTCCCCATTCTAGGGGGTCCAGTCTCCCCACACCCCATTCCAATGGCTGAGATCCTGGTGGCCGGGTGACTGGGTCAGTTTCATGCCTCTTTGTGCCTCGGCCTCCCCGTCAGGCCCCTGAGTCCATGGGCGGGTGATTCTGCGCAGATGGTCGGGGACGAGCACTGTTATTGACCCTGGACTCCCCCTCTCCTCGGGACAGATCTTATTCTGCACCCTAAACAGCCACAAAGTGGACATGCAGAAACTTCTGGGCGGCCAGATAGGGCTGGAGGACTTTATCTTTGCGCACGTACGCGGCGAGACCAAGGAGGTGGAGGTCACCAAGACGGAGGACGCCCTGGGGCTGACCATCACGGACAACGGGGCCGGCTACGCTTTCATCAAGGTGCCCGCGGTGGGGGTCGGGACTTCCGGGTGCTCGGTGACCTGGGGCGATCCGCCGCCGCCTTCCGGTACAGTGGGCTTCGGGAACCTAGGGGTGGTGGCCCCTCGAGTGACTCTGGGTCCCTGCAGAGGATCAAGGAGGGCAGCATCATCAACAGAATCGAGGCCGTGTGCGTGGGTGACAGCATCGAGGCCATCAATGACCAGTCCATCGTGGGCTGCCGCCACTACGAAGTCGCCAAGATGCTCCGTGAGCTGCCCAAGTCCCAGCCTTTCACCCTGCGACTGGTGCGGCCCAAGAGAGCCTTCGGTGAGGGCCACCTGGGGACCCGGGGCAGGCGGGTGGGAGGAGCTTGTTCTGAATGGCTTCTCTGGATGCTCAGGACAGCACAAGGTGGGGGGATGGGGCAGGATGGAAGGTTCTGGACGTCTCTGACGGCATGACAGGGAGTTTCTGGCGCTGTGTCGGGAACAGGTAGGTAGTTTATTGTCGTAGTTCGTCTGGCGATGGGGGAAAGTTTGGCAAAGCCAGGAAAGGATGAGGAGGTGTCCAGATCTATTTTGCCACCTGGCCGGGAGCTCTTACAGGACTCCTGTGAGGCGACAGCGTTTTAGAGGCTGGTTTGCAGTGTGAGTTGCAGAATGGCACTTTTCGAAGAGAAGTCGGCACAGCCTTCTCCCCTCATCGTGGACTGGAGCCCAGAGCAGCACTGCTGCAGAACCAGGGCTTCTAGAAGCATCCCGGTGCCTCTGGAGAACAGTCCCAGGGAGCGTGGGACAGGATGAGATTCTCCATCTACCCTGTTTCATAGCAGGGGACTCTGGAGGCCATACCAAAAAGTTAGGAACAGCCCGTCCCAGAGCAAAGACTTGACTAGATCAACCCTCTGGCCGCAGGAGGGTCCTAAGCATCCTTTCTGGAGAGTCACTTTAAGACGAGGAGGAAGATTTGGGGGAAGAAAGGGTTCTAAGAGAAGTCTCTGAAGATACACCCATGGGTGTAGGAAGGCCTTTGAAGGATAAGAAGGTTCTGGAAAGTCTCAGCTGGTGGCTTCCCAGTGTTTACAAAGAGTGGATCCACTCGGCACACGTGCCCTTCCCCCACTCTGTCCCCTCCAGATATGATTGGCCAGAGGAGCCGGAGCAGCAAATGCCCCATGGACGCAAAAGTGACCAGCGGGAGGGAGACGCTGCGGCTCCGTTCTGGGGGGGCTGCCACAGTAGAGGAAGTGGTGAGTGAAGGGGGGCTTCGGGGGATCTCGCACCTGCAGCTCTGCTGCTGAGTCAGCGTGGCCTTGGGTAGACCTGCTTCGCCCAACCTCGGTTTCCCCATGTGCCAACTGAGTCCCCGTGGTGAGGCGGGGACATAGTGTTCCTGCAGGAGCATTGACATGTGAGGTCCCAGCTTGCCTCGCCCAAGGGGTGGGGGCCCAGGAGGGGATTGGGCTGGAGGGATCCGAGGTTTTGACCCTCTGCTTTGTCCCCCTACGCCTCCAGCCCAGTGAATTTGAGGAGGAGGCGTCTCGGAGGGTGGATGACCTGCTGGAGAGTTACATGGGCATCCGGGACCCAGAGCTGGGTAAGGGGCCAGGGTAAGCCGGGTGGACCCTGGGGGGAGGCTAGCCCATGGGAGGAGGTAGGGGCCTCAAGGGGACACTGGGGCTCCAGGGGCACCCTCACCCACTTCCCCTCCCACTCCGGCAGCGTCCACCATGGTGGAGACGTCCAAGAAGACGGAGAGCGTTCAGGAGTTTGCGCACCATTTAGACTCCGTCTTGGGCGAGTTCGCCTTCCCGGACGAGTTTGTGGTGGAGGTGTGGGCCGCCATCGGCGAGGCCAGGGAGGCCTGTGGCTAGTCTGCCCCGGGGCCAAGCGCAGCCCCAGCCCAGAGCCCAGCCCCCAGCCCCAGCCCTGCCGGCCGGTTCCCGAAGCCCCGCGCTGCTCCAGAACCCACCCCAGGTCCGAGATCCAGCCCCCCTCTAGAGCCCATGCCAGCTCTGAGGCCAAGTTCATCTCTGGAACCTCATCTGGTTCAGAGACCCAACCCAGTTCTAGAACTCAGCCTGCCTCTAGAACCCAGGCTAGCTCTGAGACCAAGTTCACTTCTAGACCCCAGCTCAGTTCTGAGACCAAGCCCTGTTCTAGACCCCAGGCTACTCCTGGGACTAAGTTCATCTCTAGAACACAATGTAGTTCTGAAATCCAACCCAGTTCCAAAACCCAGGCCTCCTCGAGAACCCAGGACAGCCCTGAGGCCAAGCCATGTGCTGGCATCAAGTCAAATTCTGGAACTCAGACATGTTTTAAGGCCCAGCCCAGCTTCGACAGCAGCCCCGGTTCTGGAAGTCAGCCCAGCTCCATGACCAAGCCCTTCCATAAAACCCGACCCGACTCTGGAACTCAAGACAGCCCCATGACACAGCCATACCTGGACACCCACCCTAGCTCGGGAGCACCAGTTAGCCGTGAAACCCGGGTGGGACTCGAGAGGCAGCCCGGCTGCCGAGGCCAGGCCAGCGCAGGATTCAGAGACAGCTCCGAAACTCAGCCCTGTTCACAAACGCAGACCGGCTCAGGAAGCCAGACACGTGGAGCAGCTCGCTCTGGATCCAGACCCCAGCCTGGCTCTAAGACCCGGTTGCACTCAAGTGCCCACCCCCTTTCTGGGGCCCGGTCCAGCTCTAGCAATGAGTCCCGCTCAGAGACAGAGCCCAGCTCCAGATCACAGCCTAGTGCTTCGACCAGGGCCATCCCCGGGACTCAGACGCACTCTGGAGCGCCATCCGCCCCCGAGGCACGGCCCGCCCCGTGGGCTCAGCTTGGCAGAGATTCCCGCTCTCTCTGCAGTGGGCCAACCAGCCCTCAGACGCCACTCAACTCTGCGGCCCAGACCGACTTCGAGGCCCGGCCAGTTTCCAGAGCACAGCCCGGCTCTGAAATCGCACCCGGCTCCAAAACACAGTCAGTTCCTGAGATCCAGCTGAGTTCTGGAACCCAGTCCGGTCCCCAGACCCAGACCGATACAGCGACAGCCTTAAGGTCCACAACACTGTCTAGCTCCGGGAGCAGGTCCAGCTCCACCGCCCCACCCAGTTCAGCCCAACCGGCCTCTGGGACTCGGCCCATCTCAGAAACCCTGCCGGGCCCTATATACCAGCTCCAGGCCACAGCCCGAGGAGGCTCTGGTACCGAGCCGGACTGTGGCAAGCAGACTAGCTCAGGAACCCAGCTCAGCTCTGTGACCCAGCTCAGCTCCCAGCTTCAGGTCAGCTCTGAGGCTCAACTCACCTCAGAAACCCAGACTAGGTCAAAAACACAGCCCGGTTCTGGAAGCCGCCTTGGTTCTAGGACCCAGCCTGTTTCTGGAACCCAATCCAGCTTCAGAACCCAAGCCAGCTCAGGAACCCAGCTCAGTTCTGAGACCCAGCCCAGCTCTGGGATCCAGACCAGCACAAGAAGTCAGTCCAGCCCTGGAGCCCAGCCCAGCTCTAGGATCCGGTTCAGCTCTGAGACTCGAGCCAGCTCTGAAACCCAGACCAGTTCCAGAATGCAGCCCAGCCCTGGAACCCACCTCGGTTCTAGAACCCAGACCGGTCTTGGAACTCATCTCAGTTCTGAGACTCAGGCCAGCTGTAGAGCCCAGCTCGGCTCCAGAACCCAGCCCAGCTCCAGGATCCGGTTCAGCTCTGAGACTCAGACCAGTTCTAAAACCCAGACCAGTTCCAGAGCTGAGCCCAGCTCCGGAATTCAGTGCAGTTTCAGAACGCAGCCCGGTTCTGAAACCCAATCCAGCTCCAGAACACAGACCAGCTCAAGAATCCAGCTCAGCGTTAGAAATGAGCTTTGCCCACAGACCCCTGGCCTTGAACCTAGAACTCAGCCCGACCCCACTCCCCCAGCCCGACCTCAGCCCCCAGACCCACCACCCAGAGCCACGACTCTGGTTCCCAGCAAAGTCCATCAGCCTCTACCTCTGCCCCATGATGTGGTACTTAGAACCCAGGTGGACACTGGCCTGGCCCCACTGCCACAGGCCCCTCCCGCTTCCCAGAAGCCAGCCCTTTCCCCCAAGCCACAGCTGGGACCTCATAGGTCCACCCCACCCACCTCATCCCTCATCCCTACTTCTGCCTCCAGGATGGCCCTCCTGCAGTCCCAGCCCCGGGAACCCCCTGCTCAGGGGCCTGGCCTCTCCCCCTCACTCAAGAAGTTGGGAACTGCTTCGTCGGGGTCGGAGACCCTCCCCCAGCATGGTGGGCTGTAGCTTGGGGTTGTGGCCCCAATGGACAGCATCCCTTCTCCTGCCCCTCCCAGACCAAGTTCCCCCAGAAGCAGCAGGTGACCTTGCTCCGCCCCAGGCAGGGGGAAGGAGAATGGAAAGGGGCTTCGGTTTCACTGGCTTCGGCAGGTTGTAAGCAGATCCCAGGTCTGCGCAGGGGAAAGGAGGCGGGGCATGGCTTGCTCTTCATGTACCCCGAGGGCTCCTGGGGAATAAAGGTGCCTCCCACTCCTGCAATGCAGCCAGGTGTGTTGTTTTGGAGGGTGTTTGGGGCACAGCGAAGGAAGGGGTAGGCGCGAGGGCCTGGGGGACTGCTCGGGCACCCATTGCGTGCCAGGTGCTTTGTAAGTCCTCACTGCGCGTGCGTGGGTGTGTGTGCACGGACTCGGCGCCCCTCAAAGGCTCAGTCGTCGTTCATTCATTTAATTAATCTTTATTGAGCACCTACTACGGGCCAGGTGTTGTTTGTTCAAGGCACTGGGAGTCTGGGTGCTGAGCGGACGAACAGCTGAATGTAAAGCTTATGAGGGAGTGACTCCGTCTGGAGTGGAGGAGGCAGGTGTCAGTCACTCCACGGTCTGCGTATGTCCCTCCCTCTCTTTGCCTCATCTGCAAAATGGATAGAATACCAGAACCCTCTCTAGGGGCTGTAGGGAGGATCCCAGAAGATCGCCCTGTAAAGTGCTTAGTAAGACTCAGTAACGGAGGTGGGGAGGGGAGCCAGAACCCACCTCTGCTTCTCTGCCCTTCCTCCATCACCCGCCCATCTGCTAGGCTCTCCCCGCCCACAGGCCACGTGCTCACATAGCAACCAGATGCCCCCAAATGCCGCGATCAAATGGCGCATCGATCGAGGACTGCCTTCTAGACCCAGAGGAAAACAGCCCGGCGGAGATATATTTTGGCAAGAGAGGGGGTGGCCTGCCCGTTCACATTCAATCTTTTATAGACAGAGCCTTCTCGGGTTGGGGTGTCAGAGGGATCAACGGTACCCCAGAGAGTGCGTCATATTCAGGGGTCACAATCTCCCTGGAGGACTTCTGGAAGGGGGCTTAGTAGTCTAATTGCCTCTAGAGACACTCCCTACCCCAGTCACCCTTCCTGGGGTTGAGAGGGGGCTGAGCGAGGAGACAGGCCTTGGAAAGGGGGATCAGGGAAGAGTTGGGGGGGACCCTGGGCTGATGGAAGACACCTCACAATCCCACCACTCAAACTCTGTGTCCACTCTGCTCTCCCGGCTCCTGGACTTTCAGAACGGGCAGATGTGACTGTCGGGGAGGACTGAGGTTAAATAGGGGACACGCTGGCAGGATGCTCTGTCCGGCTCTCGTTTCAGAGCCGCCACCGATGTCCACCCCTGGCCCTACGCCATGGTGGGCCTCCGGGTGAGCTGGGGCTGCAGGGAGAGCGACCTGGACCTGGCACTGAGGCGAGGGTAGAGGCGCCGGATCACGGCCCGGCGGAACAAGATGTACACCCAGGGGTCCAGGATCTGGTTCCAGGTGGCTACGCGCAGGTAAATGAGCAGCTGTTTCTCCGTGGCTCGGGACAGCTGCCCAGTGGGGCTCATGGCGGGCGGGCTCCGCAGCACGGTCTGGGCGATGAAGACCTGCAGAGAGCCAGAGTGGTTAGCGGGGGGCAGGCTGCGGCAGCCCAGCCCCTCCACCAGCACCTGCGGGCCCCCGAGACCCGGGCCAGTTCTGTCACTGCTTCGCTGACCTCGGGAGAACTGCCTGACCTCTCCGAGCTTCCGTCGGTGCGGCCGCAAAATAACTCACTCTTCCCGCTCCTCTCTTGGGCACGATTAAATATGGTGGCAAAGAAGACTCGCAGGTGCAAACGGTTGGAATTACCGTTATGGCCGGTGTTGCTATTCTATTAGACATTTTATATTTTATAATATACTACAAAACTATGGAAAATGGTATATGAAATAATTTAATTTTTCTATTATATTTTAAAGGGTTTATATTATAAATTTGTATAAAATTTTTATGACATAATTTTGTTTAAAAATTTAGATTAAATTCTTAGGTGAAATTTTATTAAATGTTGGGTTTTATATTTACTATTATGTACTATGTAATATAATATCAGTTATTAACAAATTATTATATATTATC